CGATATGGATTCGTGGAAATACCCTGGAGCGGTGCTGAAAACTAAAATAACTTCATGATTCTTCCACAGAGATTTCTGCAATTAATGAGAGAATAATGAACGGTTATATTAGATGTTTCCTTACAAGGAAACATTCGGTATTCATTGACCACGCAGGCAATGGTACTTTCGGCTGAAATTTATAAAATCTTTTCAAATATTTTTATCAGGGAAGTGTGTCTCTCGAGTCCAGTAAATGTTATCTCTCTTTTTAGTTAATGTTCTCTTCCTTCCTTACCTTTTATTTGAAGTAATGTAGTCAACATCATAATATCATTGTTCTTTCGTCGAGTTAAATGCAATAACCATTTTAATTGTTGCTGTTGAAAGTCCTCAAGTGATCTGGTTTCTATTACTTGGTACATTTCTTTATGATTCTGTAGCGCCAGTGTTCAATGTCCGACAAAGGATGATAGACTTACAGGCTTCATTTTCTCAAAGCCATTTTAACTATTGATCTGAGAAAGCTGTTCTATACAGCTGAGACATTAGATTTTTTTGAACGAGATTGGCGCCATGGATGTCATCCATATGAAGGTTTCGATATGACGTTGTTAATTAAGAATGTAGATTAAATATAAATATACAAATATAAAAGTAATAAACAAAATGAATAAGAAAAAGTGAACTATTAAGACATAAAATCGCTTAAGTACTTTGCAGTCGACACTTCCGTCATGTCTAGTGACCAACGTTTATCGGTTTCAATAATCATGGCGCCCTGCCGGCTGGGTCTTCAGAATACACCGATTGAACCTCTGCAGAAGGGTAAGACCTCCACCACCCCACATTAAATGAGGCGTTCTGGGTAAGACGATAAACTACATCCGACAGCAAGTACTTTGATCAGGAGGTTTTGAGGAGCATGTAACCACCTATTAATTGCTGATGTTCCCAGGTCCACCATGACCCGAGGTAGTAGCACCTGTTAGGGTACCAACTATGGGAAAATAGTTACCCCCCACCACCACCACCAAAGGAGTCAAAACACTATGAAAGTATAAAAATGTGTTATAGTACCAGCAATTTTGTTTTCGGAGAAATTATTACCAGTAGTACATTTTTGAAAAAAAATATTACCAGCAATACATTTTTGGAAAAATATTACCAGCAATAAAAATTTTGTCGGCATTATCAATCGCGGCTGATATGCCGTAAAACAAACAAAGCAAACCATGCCGTAAAACAAAAAGCAAACCATGCCGTAAAACAAAACAAAGCAAACCAATAATCGTGAATAATATAATTGTTACTTGTAATATAACACAAAAGTCGTAGAATGGCTTTTTCTTCTTCCTTCTTTTGCTTCTAAGCTTCCTTTTTCAGAAAATAATGCAAAGATACAAGATAATTCCATTTGGTTAAACTTTGCTTCATTCGTACCTAGAATGGCAAGAAAGCAATGTTTCTTTATCTTTATACAGGAATAGATAGATTCGCCTATCATCCGGTTCAAACTTCTCCCCGGTCTTTGATAATTCCTCTTCATCTGACAATTTCTGGTCGGCTGGAAAGGCAGAGAAAGAGTACCCGGTCATTAATATTGCTCTTTGGATGTCTACTGGTTACTTTCTGTACGCTCCACGGTCAAGACTACGTAATGTATAATCAGGTGACCTGGCCAATTTACGGTCATTTCCTTAATTCAACAACGCGTGTCATTGATAAGTCCTTTGATCACATCGTCCATAACTTTTAGTTTTGTTTACTGAAGATATATTAAAACCTATTTTAGAAAGCCGTAATTATGATGAGGGCTAGGAAGATGGATCCGTTTCCAAATTCCTGTTGAAGTAAAGTATGCTTGCCTTGAAAATCAGCATTCAAAAGATTGGCTTTTAGCTGGAAGCGAACTCTCTAATAAAGCCACTTCATTTCATGATGTTGCGGGGAAATTTAACAGAAGTTGATGAATTGTAATGATAATTCACTGGAATATAAAATATGTTAAAAGTACTCCACTAATAGAGTACAAAGATAGTATAGCGTCAAATTGTCCAGAAATTTCCTCAAACATTCACAATGGCATCAGACAAGAGCAAAAACGGCAAACTTCTGATTACTGAGCTTAGAAATGTTTGGCGCGGATTCAAAATTTTATTGAAAAACTAATCAACTGGGAATGAAGCCAGATTTCTAATCAGTGCATTCCGCTGAGGTTCAAAACAACAACAAAACACACACACACACACACACACACACACACATACAAACACGTACATATAGTAGCTCCTGTTAAAACTGTTTTTGAAAAAGCCATATCCCATCAGGAGGTAGGTGATCATGGCTCTTCACATCTTCCCTCGCTTCAATATCATGAATTTGGGTTTAATATAGTGGCGTGGTTTACCGTTGTCTTCTCCTTGTTTTTATTTTTATTTTATTTTGTATTCCTTCTCCTAGAGTGGTTACCACTTACGGCTCAAAAGCCAAATTTGTTCTCCTACTGAACCCGTAAGTGGTGGTGAGAAGAGAAATGGCATTTGTGCGAAAATGAATGCAACAGATTTTATCGGAATTTGAACTCGGTTTGACGAATTCAGTTTCTGTCATCAGACTCTACCCCACACAAGGTGATCATGAGTCTACGCCATGAGCAGGTAAGGTTTGGTTTTGGAGAAATTTGTTTAAGTACGAATACAGTCAGTCTATTCTCTGTCAACTGTCCCTAGCCAACCAGTGACAAAACCTTTATTCTCAAAATAACACGTGATGTCACAAAGCGTAAAGAGAATTCGGTACATGCTTTTCTCGAAGGCATTATTCTGATATGAACACGAACATCGTTAGAAGAATTTTGAACTCAGTTCAAAGATTGTATCTCTGTGTCGAAGATGCGGTATAGCGTAACGGTAATTGCTTGCTGGAATTATTCAAAACATCGTTTCCGACGTTATTATGGTTCAAGAAAAAGCTAATAAACATTCATAATTTATTATTAAGGGTCAAGAAAAGCTAATAAATATTCTGCTAAAAAGTGCGTGTTATAAATGAACCAATTTATCTTATTATTATCCATACTCTATCGCTTGATACTGAGCACTAAGATTAGAAAAACTTCTTGTTGTTAAAAACGTTATCTACCAGAATTGTCTCGGTCAGCTGTTTTGGGGTGAAATACGATCTTTGTTATTTTTATTCCTTTATATACTAATATCGTCCATGGTGAAATAGTATCATTCTTTAACCAAGAGACTCTATTTATTTGCTGGTAGGGGAAAACGAAGGAAATCATTCGTCATAAATTTCAATGTCCTACTCTAGAGTTGCCCGATTTATCAACGCCACTAACAAGCTCCTACGTGCGATTCTTTATCGTGTTCATTCTTCAGTCGTGAAATGATCACTGATTCAACATAAAAGACTGATCAAGTTGAGCTCAACTTCGTTTGCCGCCCTCAATTGAGTTTGTCTTCAGATATTTCTCTATATAATACGTCGATCTATTCTATGGGCAAAACTTTTGGACACGAACATCCGTTATTCTGTAGCGCTAATGAATTACGTAACTTGTGCAACGTTGAACTCACATTGAATATGCATCAGGTTTTAATTGAAACTTGGAAATTCCTACGCGGAAACTATTCGAATAATTAAGAAGGCTTTGGGGGATAATTCAGTGAGCGAAGCCCAGATAAATTTCGGTGCCAACGACTTAAAGTTGGCCGAGAATCCGTTGATAATAATCCACATTCTTTGATTCGTTCAACGTGCAGATGATAATGATAACATTGGAAAAATAACCGTTTGTCTACAGGAAACTCTCAGCAATCATTGGACGAACATTCTGCGTCACTGACAGTCGAAAATTCTAAAAACTTTTTCTTGAAAAATGTTTTCAGGAATTCAGATTTCTCACATCCTCTGTTATCACTTTTAGTAATTGTGGCCGAAGTTTCTTTCCTAACCTTTTGTTTTAGGGACTGTGGAATTTCAACAGCTTGATTATCGCTTTTTTTTCTTTCTTAATTACATGTGCTACATAATTTTTGTTACTGCTGTTGGAAATCTTTAAGTGATGTGGTTTTATTATTAGGTAAATCTTTTTCCGATCTTGCAGTACCAACTTATAGGGTCTGTTAAAGGATAATCTTCTTCAAGACCTAAAGAATTCATTCGCTTGAAGCCATTATTTTTGTAATTGATCTGAAACTTTAGATATTTCTGAACGATGTCCACATGAGAGTCCAGATCTGACGAGTTTATTTAAGAACACCAATCTCGTTTCCAGGTGAATATTTTTCTTTTTTGCGATGTCTGACTGTGTTGGACAAAAGCACTCGTAGCGCAATCTATTCTATGTTCAATTTCCTGATTTCCTAGACTAGATTTGTTACAACTGACCCCACAATCCGAAAATGTTGAACGTGTATAGACATTACTCAAATGAAATCAGGATTAAGAAAAGGCCTGGCGATTCCATGAACTGCCCGGAAGGAATGTATACAGGCATCATGAAGATCTCGACTCTCCATTCTTCAGTTCTTATACAGGGTATTTTGGCAAAAGAGGGAATCGTCTGAATCTGCCAATTTCCATCTTTCCTTATAGTTCAGATTTGGTTTCAAACCACGAACGAGAAGGCATCGAATCAACTGAACTCTTCTTCTTCTTCTTCTTCTTCTTCTTCTTCTTCTTCTTCTTCTTCTTCTTCTTCTTCTACTTTCAATATGCCATATGTGGGTGTCAAATTCTTCATTTCCCCTTTCCCTATCAGATTATCAATCTTGCTTTATTTAAAGCCAGAAAATATTTTTAGATTTTAAGAATTTTGGGAAATAATGATTTACTGATCTAAGTCCTACTAATTAGCCGATAGCTGGGGGAAGAGATGGAATCATATCTTTCCGAAGAGTAGTTGAGCATAATTGAATATAGTCAACTGGAATTGGAACTCAACTCTCAGATTCTCAATTCTGAGCCGTTATATATAAACACCAACCGAACACCCAAGCTTACATAACTTGATATTCCCAAGCAGTCACCATCTAGGTACTGACCAGGCTCGACGATGCTTAACTTCGGTGATCGTATGAGAACTGATGTTTGAACCTGATATGACTGTAAGCCTAACTAGGCTGGGTTGATTTTACGTGACTGAGTCAGACATCTTTCAGAAATATCTAAAGTTTCAGATCAATTATAAAAATAATGGCTTTAAGCGAATGAATTCTTTAGGTCTTAAAGAAAATTATCTTTCACCAGACCCTATAAGCTGGTGCTGATTTACTTGACTCCCCACTGAGTCAGGTTGTGACACAAGGTCAGATTTTAACGTGGGGACACGAGTGTCTTCATCTTCATTCGGGTCGCTGGTCTTAGCTGGTCATAGCTTGTCCAAGCTAATCAGAGCTGGTCTAAGCTAGTCATAGCTGGTTATAGCTGGTCTTAGCAGGTCCAAGCTAGTCAGAGCCGGTCCAAACTAGTCATAGCTATGATACCACCAGCGCAGGGACGTATCCTTGCACCCGACAAGTATCGAACGTGTATACTCATCGAAGGAGGGGTTTACACACTCAAGCCTAACCTGACTAAGTACTCACAGAGAGAAAAACAAGCTGTGCATGAGAGCCTCGTATTCAAGGAGGTCTCTTCGAAAAACTTTTCTTTCTGGATTTTGTTTTCAAACATATTGAACAGATGTATAATTCCACCCACTCAGAAGATCTTTGTGTGTGTGTGTGTGTGTGTGTGTGTGTGTGTGTGTGTGTGTGTGTGTGTGTGTGTGTGTGTGTGTGTGTGAAAGAGAAAGTGGTGACTTAAGAGAATGCAGAAAATAAAAATTGGTATCATGTTACCTTCGGTTTTTCTTCCAGAAAATGACGTGTTACTTTGTTGACAACAACTGCTAAATTCAAGATCTAGTCAAAAAAAAAAAAAAAAAAAAAAGATTAAAAAAACATCAGAGAAGGACAATCGTCGTCTTTGTCGTTTCCGGTTGATGACTGTCGAAAAAAATCCGCCCAAACATAAATAAATGGAATTTCAGACTCGGTTCCTGATTTTCTTTGTATATGCGATAGAGAAAAGACAAACTGTGAGAATAAAAACAAGGGAACACAAATGGAGGCTACATAGATGTCTTCAAATGGCAGCCAACAGAAACATACATAACATTTTTTTATAAAATGCCTCATTTCAAAGGAACACAAGTTTTGTTACCATAAACGCCATATCTTCATTTTCCAAAATAAGAATTCTCTTTTTTTTAATTATGTAGAAAATATAAATCTTTAAATAAAAGGTTTCATTAACTAATTTATTTTTTAAAATCAGTATCACCCCATGCAAAGCAGTAAAGCCACTATGACACAGGGGGTTACAGGATATGGGAGAATTAGGAAGAGAACCATTAATAATGAGCTGAAAGAGAAAAGAGTAATCAGGAGGACAGTAGATAGCGATTGACATTGCATTTGAATTTTTGAAGTATGGAGTCGGAAGGGAGTTCCACAAGCGAGAAGTGCGAGAAAAGAAACTGTTAGCATAGAATTTACGGCTAACACCTAGCTAACTCAACTGTAAATTGATGTGATCTCGAATCCAGTCTAGTAACTGAGATATCAAAACAGTTACAAAAGTCTCATTACAACATAAAAATGAAGGGCACATGGCACAGTGGATAAAGACGTTCGTTAGATTCAGTGACAGGACCCAAAGAGTGTGAGTTCAATACCCGGTTAAGGCAGTGGAGAACTTTCAGAGGGAAAATTAACAGGAGATAACCGATAACTGACATCCATTAAACATGGCACGTGGAACTAGAACAGTCTACCCCAGTGAGCGAAATAAAGGGTTCAGTTCGACATTCCAACCACCTGAAGAAGGCTGGAGCGTAAAACGGCCGAAACGTTGTAATACATATGGGGACAAAGATGAGGACAATAGTCCGAATAATGTAAATAATGTATAAAAATAAAAACAAGAAAATCGATCTCTCGCCTAGCTGGAGCCAACATTTATGGCCGTTTTCATTTTAAACAATTTCTTTATTAAATGAAACCCGTTTAAAAAGAAATCATGATCGAAATTATTCTAGACAAGGCAGCTCCAGGTAACCTTGCTCGTACAAATGCTAAAACGATAGAAATAAATATGAAGAAGAAGTGTTTCCCATTGAGTGTACACCGACAATTTTTTAAAATTCATTTCCGTCCGAGCATCTTCACAGGCTGACCCCTACCTCGTAAACAGTGTGGCATTTCTTCTGAGGTGAGACGCTTATTTCTGTAAATAAGATAAACTGATTGATGAAGAACTCAATGAACCTTAGCGGGACGGGTACCTATGATAATTGTGCTGACAGCGAAGAGGAAGAGCTCCAGGGATAATGGAAAGGGTGGTTTCGGGGTGTGGCACAAGGATCGATAGGGAAGAGCGTTAGGAAAAGAATTAAAAGTGGCAGTTGATTTATGATAATGTCCTGACCCTTGAGAAAGACAGCAACGTCCAAGGATTTGAACAACGTCATGCATAATCAAAAGTAACAAAAATAGCAGCAGCAACACCGGTCGCAGCAGCAGCAGCAGCAGCAGAAGAAGAAGAAGAAGAAGAAGAAGAAGAAGAAGAAGAAGAAGATGTGTTAACGTTGTGGACAATGATATAAATCAAGTTTACGTTTTTAATAAACGAAGACATACATATTATTTTGTTGATGTATGTGTACGCGTGCATTTAAGTCCACGGTTCGCGTTTGAGTTATTTCCCTTTTATTTGATTGGATGTTTAGTTTTCATTATTATTTCTTTTGTCTTCTTTAATTATTTCCTTACTATGTTTAATAAAAATAGTTTATATGTGGCATTTTTTTTTTCATTCATTTATATGGGTTTGTGCAAAACAAAGCATAGTCTTATTTTTCATTTCTTAAATTTTTGAATCTTTTGATATGGGGTTGTTTTCATTTTTTATTTTCTACTGATCTTTTCGCTTTTTTTATTTCGCGGTTATTTTACAAATTATTGCTTTTCATTTTCTTCATTCGTTTCTTAGGAATTTATTTCCTCTTTCGTATGAGATAAAGTCACAAATTTTCTCATTTTTATAGTCTTGACTAATTTAATTTTTAAATAGATATTTCCTTTGTTTCATTGGGTATTATTTTTCTCATCAGCTTGACGCTATTGTTTCATTTTTAGACTTGTATCTTTGAATAATTCATTTGTTCTTATTTACTTAATTTTGTGTGATTATCTTCGACTATTCTAATAACATTCAATATTTGATTAATTTCTTCCTTGTCTATCTTTCATCTTATTTTCTTGCTTTTTATCGAAATTCTCAAGTCAGTTTCATACTCTTGTTCATCCAATACAAGGCCCAAGAGGCATTCAAGTTAGAGGCTTACTGAATAAGATTTCTTACAAGGATAGTAAGACGAGCATAAATACTTGTGCAAATTAATTGAAACAACCGCTTTAGTATCCTTTCTTTCGCCATACGATGAAGTTTGGACCCACTAGAGTGACAGGGTGTAATCGATATCTATTTTTCCTCAGATTCCATTTCCAGTGTTGAGCAGTAATATAAATCTATTTTCGGAGTGTATGATGAAATTTGTTTGACCTTGAAAAATATTACATTATCCGTGATTGCATCAGATTTTCATCACGCCCAGACATTATTGTCTCGACTGTCGATTAGTTGTCCTACGACCATTGTCTGCGATGGACGTTACTCCAAGAAAGCGCACAAAATTGTAACGCTGTACGAACACACTGGCAAGTCTTATCAGTGAGTAAATCAAAGTACTATAGACTGGCCCGGGAACTCTTCTGATTTAAATCCAATCGAGAATCTCTGGTCAACCTACAAGGAAAGTCTTCGTGGAATGGACATAAGTACTAACATGTGCACTGGGGTATGTTTCATTGGAAAAATAGGAAAAAGTTAATAATAACGGAATTATTTGTTTTTTTCAATTAATTTGCACAAGGGTGTATGAACATATATAGTATATATAGCGGTTAACCTTAGAATTAAAGAGGGAGGTTATGGTTGTAGACATAAGGAATATTCCTCGCGGGAGTCTGTTCCACAACGTAACTGCTGTGTGGAAGAAACTGCCTGAGTGGAACTTACTCCTTACCAATGGAATACAAAAGGAATAAGAATGATTCGACCCTGTTTATATTCGTGGCTACAGTGCTGTTCGATAAAAGTGACTCACCTGATTTTTTTTTTTTTACTAAATGTTCTCTTCTCCGATGAAACGAAAGTTGAGCTAAATTTAAAAGATAAGTGATCTAAAATCCGAAGAAGAAGTTTTGAAAGCTCTTTGAATTTAGCAGTAAGTACTGCCAAGCATCCGTTCAGTATAATGTTCTGGGGGTGCTTTTCTTTTCATGGAACAGGTTTCTTAAAACCTAAGAAAAGATCGTCAGGAGCGAGCAGTACAAGAGAATTTTAGAGTCTTGTCTGCTCCCTTGTGCTGAAAGGGTGCAAATCGACCCCACCAAGCTCATTTTTATGCAGGATAATTCTCCCTGTCACAAATCAAAATTGATGAAGGAATACTTTGATGAGAAGCAGGTGAGTGTTATGACATGGCCGCCCCAATCTCCTGACCTCAACCTCATAGAAAACTTATGGAGCATTATAAAGTACAAGCTTTCGAGAAAGCAGTTGAGCAACAAAGAGGATTTGATTGTGAATTTCATATCCGAATGGAATTCAATGCTTGGAGATGAGATTTGCCAGAACCTAATCAAATCAATGCCAAAAAGGGTTGAAAAGGTTATTCAAAATAAAGGAGGACCCATAGGTTATTAAATATTTCGAAGTATATTACCTATTATAAATAAATTATACCTCTATTATTCTTTATTTAAAGCTGTTTGGCTATGTTTCTATTGATTAATAGTTGCAGGAAATAAGTGAATCACTTTTTTTGCACAGAGTTTTTCCCTAAATCTCATTTATATCTCAAATTATAATTATCAATAGAATACATTAGGGTAAGTAAACTTTTTTACTAGGTGGTCGGGAAAGGGTCTTGATATTAGTAAGATTAAAAATTAGTTTGACCCCAAAAACAATAGGCGAAAAAAAATTTAATTAAAAAATT